GATCTGGAGTTGGCTTATTGTCTTGCCGAGGACTGAGATATCGAGGAGATTATCTGAGGTAAGAAGGTCTGAGCAAGAAGGAACGTTGGTCAGAACGTACCGCTTCAAGTAGTTATCCCTATCCCTGCACACACTGTAGCTCAAGTCATCACAAGGAATGCCTAAGGAATGGCACAAGAAAGAACAAAAATGAGGAATGCAAATCTCGCAAGGACAGTCACTCTTATGGTTTTTATATTTCTTGTAAAAAGAGACAGAGCACTCCCCGAAAGCGCTCGGGATAGGGAAATCCTCCGCAGCTGGAGAGAACCAGGCTCCCCTAACCCCAATAATGTTTTTCCTCCAACCCTTCTCAGATTTGATCTTATCCGTGCAGATAGACCTCTTCTCAATGGGGAAAAAGTGGTAAAACGGTTCGTCAGTTCTGATCTTGCTGACCTTGTAACAGAGGAGGAGATCTACGAGGTCCAGATCCAGACCTCTGTCACGAATCAGGAGTAGCATAACGGATAAAATCCTAAGGAACTTGGGGTTTACTTGTAAAGGGAAAAGATTAAGCTTGTTAAAAATATAGCAAAAGAAAGGATGTAAAGGAAATCTAAGGAGATTGAGGTGGAAGAAGGAAAACAAGGCCTCGCCGGGAAGAAGGCCAGCACCGGTTCTAATATTCACTTCCTGGGGGCAGTTTCTAATTTCTACATCGTCAGGAAGTTGAAGTTTCATGCGAAGAACGTCTAGATCTACTGTCATGGTGAGAGTGGATGAGGATTCCGGGGAGAAGAAAGAAGTCTTCCAAAAGAAAAATGCAAATGAAACTAACCTTAGAGAGTGAAAACGGCAGAGAGTATTGCAAAGCCACTGGAAGGAAGATCTTTCGCAAGAGATTGCCGGAGAGGATTCAAGCAGCAAAAGATGAGATGGAGACGGTAAAGAGGATCGATAGAGAATCAACGGAGCTTATAAAGACGAGATGAGCCCAAGAGCTGAGGAGTCAGGAAAGCGATGTGTTGTCTTTTTGAATCTTGAAGCGTCAACCCATAGATCTAACCGTCCATTCTCCCACACGATCTCCTCGAGCCGTCAGGTCATCATTAGCAGCCTCTAATAATTACCCCCTAATCAATAAGGGGTAATTATGGGGGCAGTTGAGGATGCGGCAAGTGGCATGGGCCGGATATGGATTGCGGAAGCAAGATCGGGTCGAATTATTGAAGTAGGATCCATGCCAAAGCACCCTGTAATGGGCCGAACGTGGGGGGTCCACTGAGGAAGGTCAAGCCCATTGCAAGACCTAGCCTAGAAGGAAGAGAGCTTTCGGATATAAGCCCAATGTAATTGGTTAACTGCAAAAAAGGTCATGGCCTATAAATAGACCATGACGAGTGGAAAGTAAAAGAGAAGGCTAGGGAGAGAGAGAGGGGAAGATGAAACAAAATCTTGTATCTTCACTTTAATTTAGAAGTGATAATTTGTAACCTTTGGTAAATTAAAAATGTTTTTTTGCCACAAAAATAATAAAAGAAATATTTTTCAACTTTTTGATAGCATAAGGAAGATTAGTGCAATTTCACCAAATCCTATAAACCGCAATCATCACCATTAAACTGTTTGTGATTTTGAGTGGGAAGTGGGGACCCAATCATTTTTTTTTCCTTTCTCCTCTGTCGAATTGCCGCTCTTCCAACATTAGCGATACATTCAACTTTATCAGTCATACTCATTCTTTTACTTAGTATAGAGGTTTCTCCAATAATTATATATATATATATTAGTAAAAGCTGTGTAAAAATAAAGTGCACTCAATATAAATAAAAAGATAAATTAAATCATTAAAAAAAGTAAATTTAGAATTGAGAAAAAACAACTTAAATAACTAAATATAAATAAAAAAATTTAATTATTGCTATTATGTTTTGATTATTATAACTTATAAGTTTTTAAAGAATCCAAAATTTACAGTAACTCTTTTACAAAAATAATAAATAAACCTAAAGAGTCCAAAATATAACTTAAGAATAATAATAATAAAAAGAATAGAAACAAATAATAAATAGGAACGTAAATAACTATTTATTTATAATTATTAGTATTACGTTTTGATTGTTATAGGTTTCTAAAGTTTCCAAAATTTATAAAAACTCTTTTGAAAAAGAGTCCAAAAATTATAGAAACTCTTTTGAAAAAAAATTATGTTCTTTTTTTTTTTTTTTTTTTTAATTTGGTAACTTATGTTTTAGTAATGGAAAAGAGTAGTATAACTTTATGTTTGTATTTTAATTGGTAACTTATGATTAACTTATTTTATTATTTATTTATTTTTAATTATTTATTTATAGATAAGAATGATTTGAAATTCTTGACACTCTTTATACTTTTAATAATAGTATAGTATAGATATATAGATAGAGATATCATTAAATAAATAAATAAAGCCTGAGAGTTTAGGTTTGGATTTTTTTTTCCACCAAAAGTAATGAAATAAAAACAAAAGAGTCAATGCATTCGTCGGATTTATTAGAGATCATTCAAAAAATATATGGAATTCAGAACTCTATTTCGATTTTCAGTTCTACCTCTGAATGTGCAAGTCCTTTTTGAAAGTTTGTTTGGGTTGATTTTTTTTAATTTATTTTTCAATAAAGAAAAGTATTGTTAAATAACATATATCACATTTAATTGCTCTGGTTGAAGTTTTTCTTTCAAAATCATATTTTTTATTTCAATCTAACCCCGAAAATAAATGACCAAAGGTGAGGCATTTCAAAAGGTGATGATGCGGCTTTTTGGAATGGGTCCAAAACGACGGTGTGGGTGTTCATTTTTTCGTGTTTAAGTTTTTTTCTTTTAATTTGTCACGATAATAATAATAATAAAAATATCATGAATGCCACAAAATCCCCTGTGATTTATTGTCGGATATATATAATCTCGCGTCTCACGTCAAATTATCGTTAATATTTTTAATGACTTACATTTCAAAAGATTATATTTTGATTTGATAATCGTAATTCATTTTTATACTTTGAATTGATATTTTTAATTGTAAAAGTACTTTTTAGGACAATTGTGGAGTGTGGTTGCTCTTTTTTCTTTTATTTTCTTTCTTCTTTTTTTGAAAAAAAAAAAAAAAAAAACAGAGTACAAAAATAAATTTTTTTTTTTATTATATTTTCAGACATAAATTTCTTCAAATATTTTGAAATTGAGAATTACAATCTTAAAGTTATTTCATTTGAGGTGGAGGACATCTAATGATAGATGTGGGTGGTTTTCGCCATTGGCATTGAAGAAAGATCAAATGATTTATAACTAATAAGAAATGAAAATTTGAGCAGTTGCTTTGATAATTAAGTGATTTAGTGTTTTTTTGTAAATTTTGGAGTTGCAAATTTTGAATCTCTAAGTTCTCTTAAAAATGAGTTAAAATTTTCTTGATTTTCAATACTCTGGTGCAATCCTAAATTAATATATCTATTTATTTTATACTACTCAAAAAATTATGATTTTATTTATACACTCGCTTGCTACTTATAAGCATTTAAACCTTTTAACTTTTAACATATTTTCAAGGCAAAAAATTCTTGTTAAAATCAATTTAAGTATTGCCAATAACCAAATCCTACTAAACAAGAAAAAAAGTCGTATAAACATATTTTTATTATAAAATTTCTTATTCAAAACTATATAATGTTAATTTATTGAAATTTAAAGTATATATTTTCTTCAAAACGCACAATCATATATATATATATATATATATATATATATATATAATCAACAATAAAACAATAATTTATTGAGATTTAAAGCATTCCTTTTGTTCAACCAGTAGAAGTTAGAGGAGACACATTATTTCACACTATTTTTAATTATTTATTTATGTTAGTCAATAATTCTTAATCGCATTCTATTTTGGATGTTATATGTCAAGTTATTTCATTCCAGGATATTCGAACCCGCTATCTTTCACATAAAAATGAAAAAAAATATCACTATACCACGAGTCTTGGGATTATTTATATATTTTATTGACTATAGTAAAGCGATAACAATATTCACACTGTATTTTTACTAAAATATTTAAGTCTTCCAAGTGCATTATAGGAGTTAATTGCTAAAAAAAAAAAAAAAAACAATTTTATTGAGTTTAGCAGGTTTAACATTACCAATGTTGTGACATATGTCTAAATAACCTTGGTACTATTTAGAAGGAAAAATATAATTACAGAGTGAAAGTAATAGAAAGTGGAATAAAAGAAAGAAAAATAAATTATTTATTTCTTTATTTTATGTATTTGATTAGAATGAAAAATCTTTAAGTTGTAGAGAATTTCCATTTAATTATTTGGATAGTTTGAAAGGTAAAAAAAAATATATAAAAAATCATTATCACCTAAATTGTCCTTATTTATCAATTTGTTTTGTATCAATATTTTTTTCTTTTTCTTTTCTAAAATAAAAGAAATATAAAAAAATAAAAGTAAATAAGTTTTTAGGACATTCTCCAATAGAATTTTATTATATTTAAATATATATTTTAAAAAAAATAAATATATGCCTAAATCCAATTTATATAAGAGAGAGATATAAAAGGTGCCGTTGTAAATTCAATGATTAAATATAATTTTTTCAAAAGTATAAAATTTTCTTATGCTTTTTGCAAATACAATTTTTATCATAATTAAGTTGTTATGAAAAACTAATTTTCTTTTAAAAAAAAATTCTTATCATACTATTCAAACATTTTATTTTAAAGTTTTTTTTCCTTCACAAAACTACATTGTCTCGATAACCCAGTCTTCTAATTTAATACTACGTGCCTAACAATGAAAAAAAAAAAAAAAAAAAAAATTCTCACTTACATTGTAAATGATAATAAAAATAAAAAAAAAGTAAAAGGAGCACGTGACTCGTAAACGGAGAAGTTAATGTAAACGGACGTTACCGAGCCTATACACCGAACCTCAAAATCAGACATACCTTATCTCCATGTCTCTATCTATATCTACAATATAGTACTAGATATCGATATATCTATCAATATATATATACACAAACCTCAATTTTGTCGTCAATTTTAAAGAAGACTTCACGACATTTCTGAAGACTCATTCAAGAGCGCGATCAGAGACTGCATTTTCAGGTTCTTTCAATTTGATTTTCATACATGTTATACTTCGAATCTGTTCTTGTAGTACTAGATTTTGCCTTGAAATCTCGTTGTGCTCGTGGATTTCGAAGTTTTCGATATCGTTGATTGAAAATCTAATGGTCAACATTTTGGTCTGAACTGTTTTTCTCATCTCCACCACAAAAGGGATACTTTTTAAGCTCTGGAATTGATTTTGGTGGCTTTTCCCCTGAAAATTTCTGATTCCTATGTTGTTTCGCGTCTGTTTGGTTGCTCAGAAAAAAGCTGAGGAGAAAAAAAAAAAAATTGGCCTGTATTTTTTGTTGTTTCGTTTCGAACTGTAATTCCCCCAATTTTCTTAGCAATTAAAGAAAGTAAACGGAAATCTGGGATATTATAATAGAATATTTAACATCAGCCTTGATAAGATCCCAATTCTTCAATCTGCAAATCAGTGGTACATTAGTTTAGCTGCTAAGAGAAGATAGAGTGAAAAGAAGGAATTAATGGGTACCAAAATCCTTTTTGTTCAGGTTTTTTTTTTTTTTTTTTTTTTTTTTTTTTTTTTTTTAACAAGTGTTCAGTTTTTCTGTTTTATGAGAATTCAAAATCAGAGAACTGTACAAAAATTTGTTTGGTTGACAAAATCCTTTTGGTTCAGTTTTCTTAGAATTGAAAATCAGAAAACTGTATAACAATATGTTTGGTTAGTTTTTGAAACCCAAAGAACTTTAGTTATCTGAAAACAGTTTATGTTTTCTGAATTATTGAGAACTGTTTTTAGATTATTGAACCAAACAGCCCGTAATTATCAGTCTGAGTCTACTATTATTCCGCATAATGTAAGCAACTGTATGTCATCTTCCTTAAACCAAAAGGACCAAAATAATAGAACACACAAGATTTAAAGTTTACATATTTCTTTTGATTGTCAGTTTCTTCAGAAAATAAATGACTGCTTATTTTTTTTATGCCCTTCTTTTTGAATGCGATTAAAGTAAAATTGTCCATCTTGTATGTTATCTTAAAATGATGTTCATGTCCATGAGATTTAAAGTTTACATTCTTTCTTTTGATTGTCAGTTTCTTCAGAAAATAAACGAGTCTACTTATTTTTTTTTTTATCTCTTTCTTTTTGGATGTGATTAAAGTAAAATTGTCCATCTTGTATGTTATCTTAAAATGCTGTTCATGTCCATGAACAGTCGAATCTTTTGGTTTTTAACTGGGTAATGAATGATATTTGCGGTGAACCAGGAACATTTTCCAAGGATAATAATGGCAGACCACCTTGTTTTGTGTGTTGATCGTCTTATCACACCTGAATCATTGCAATCACTGCAAGGGGCTGAGGGCACTGGATCGTCTGGAGTGGGTACTTGCACTCACATGGCTGATCCGTCCACTTCTGGCATTGCCATTAAGGAGGTGAGGGAACGTGATGTAGCTGACGAAGAGGAACCACTAATCGAGTCAGTGGAATGCCGCATTTGCCAGGAGGAAGACAGCATGAGAAACATGGAGATCCCTTGTGCTTGTAGTGGCAGCTTGAAGGTATCTTCTCAACAAGTTTTTTGATGTCAATGTTGTGGGTTCAGTCACTTTTTTTCCTGAAAAGAATTTCTTTTTTTGATAATATATCACTTCTTGTATATATATATATGGACTGTATGTGTATGTATATAAATGTTTTTACGTTCTTAACTTATATAAATTTTGCTTCCATCTGATTTTGTATTTCTTAATTTTCATAGTTGTGCTTTTTGTGAACTTTTTCTTTGGGCATGAGTGACTGTTAGCTCATTTGTGTGAGAAAATGATGTTGGGTCCTTCTCTTTGAGTCATAAGGGGTTTGAATGCATATTCAAATGCTTGTATAATTTTACATTTCCTGTTTGGTATTTTTGGTTTATTGGTCACCTCAGTCTCAGTGATCTCAAGCACACTTCAGCTAAAGAATCATGTGGCAAGGAATCTTTCTTTTGCCTTTGGTTCCTAGGGGAGTCCAGATGATCAGGGCAAGTGGCACCTAAGGTGCATCAAAGAGGAAAACACCAATGGTTGCACCTAAGGTTCACCAAAAACCAATTTCATATTCTTTGCACTTTAAAGATTTGATAATTTATTTATGTAGTGTAATATAGCTTCTTCGTTGTGTTGTATCAATATTCCAGTTAATCATAGTACCTGGATGAACTGTGGGAACATTTAACTTAAGTTGATCAATGAACTCCAACCTAAGGAGGAACAAAATCAGGTTACTGATGTATAGGTTTCGGGGCGGAAGAGAAAAAAGGTTCATTTCTATGGCTTCAGTTGGTTGGATGGAAATAGCAAGAAAGGAAAAGAAATGAGATTTTTTTTAACATTTTAAGATTTTGGAAAGCAGGAAAAGGAAAATTTTGTGGGAAAGTAACTTTCCATAGCCACCAAACTTTCCCATATTTTTTTCTTACAAAAATCACATGAAAATTTTAATTTCTTGAGAAAGTTATGTGAACTTTACAATTATACCTTTTTTATCTCTCTAAAATAAAATGTGTTTGTGCATAACTTATTATGCATGACTTTTGATAAGAATAGTATAATAGTCTATATCTCTCTCTAGATGTTCTACAAAATTATTTATTTAGATTCTTATATTGCTTAATTTTTTTTTTTTTTTTTTTTTTAAATACCAAAAATATTTATCCAATACAAAGTTATTTAGGCCTTATATCATATTTAATAAAAATAAAGACAATTTAGATATACTGTTATATTTTGTTGTAACTTTCATGCTATCCACAGCATGACATGGTAAATTTTCACAACTCTCTTGAAATATTTTCATGCTAACCAACTTCATGTTAGAAAATTGATTTTCCTTTCACTTCACTTTCGCTTTCCATTATTAATTTCCATCTAACCAAACAGACCCTAAATGTTTGTAGCAGAACATACACAGATTGAAATTTTGTAATGGAAGCTTATTAATTTTTTTTTTTCCTAGTTGGGTACTCACACACACATGCCTCCATGGAGGCTCGAACCCCTGACCTCTCTTTGAAAAGTAAGGGCTTGGTACCGCTAGGCCACTGGCCTGTTGGTGTAATGGAAACTTATTCTTGATCCATGGTTTGTAAATAGTTATATTTGACCTTGTAACATATGTTATTTGCACTATGCTGTAAGCTGTTAGGTTTTTTCAAACATTGCACTGTCCACAGCCTTGCACATCTATTAGTATACTTTTTTCTGGATACAAGCACATTTGCATGTATATTCCGAATTATGTGTATGGATATCTATTAGTTATATAAAGCTTCTTTCAAGTACCTCATGAAATGGAGTGAGTCCATGTAAATCTGAGTTCAGGTCCATGTCTTTATTTCTGGATTTGTATCTGAATCTGTGTCGGATCTTATGGACATAATCCATAGCCAACCCATATAATCCATTGATAATCTAAATAAATCCTTTAAAAATAGGACTCGGATTAGATATAGGGTTAAACCCAATCCATTTCATACCTATATATACTTGAATCAGACTTGGGTCCAAGACGGATCTTACAAAGAACATCTATATCCAACTCATTTTGTCTTCGAATTCAAACTTAATAGTACAAGTCTGATAAATGGATTTTGGATCGGTTTGGATCTCAGGTTAAAGTTATACCATATACATTTTATGCCCTACTTTGAGGTCACGAGGACGGAGCCTTGTGGCTTCTAGTGGGGTCAACTGATTCAACTAAAATTTGATAAAATAAAATAGGGGTCAAATCAACATAACAAGAAACTGTGGATATATATATATATATATATATATATATATTTGACTGCTCTGGAACCTTTTTAGGAAAATAAGGATGGGTCAATTTGTAATATTGAAAGCAATGGGCAGATGTCATAGAGATAATAAAGTAGTTTTTTTCTTCTTGTTTTCTTTATTCATTTATTTTGGGCATGGTTAGAGGTTGTAACTTCCCCATCCAAAAACCACGTTGTGCCATGTTGTGAGTGGTAGATAACTTGTTAGAGATAAAAACCTTTTGATATTATTTGATTTTTTCCCCCTTCGATTGTAGGTAGAATATGCACTACTATGAATAATAAAATTTTGGTTGAAAGGGTAGCTGGAAGGAATTAGATGTTTTCTCTGGGAAAAGGAAGGGATATTTGCATCTTTTGGTTATTGAGCAGAGTGAATAGACGAAGCAAGAAAAATGGTATTTCACGAGTTTGCTTTTGTAATCTTAATAAATAGTTTTGCTTGAAGGGTGAAAGTGTAGAGAATAAGTGAGGAACTCTTTTTCTCCTCACAGGAATGTGGTGGCTGTGAATACATCAACTGGAGCATGGCCAAGCTAGAAACTGTTCAGTCTTACTCGTTCATTTTGTTGTACCAGGTCAGGCTTTCAACGAGCTTAAAAACCTGAGCTCGAGCTTGGTTCAACTTGCCTTTGGTGGCAAGCTAATTGGGCTTGGCCCTAATCCCATGGAACATATTATTTTAATATATTTTAATTATATTTTAATACTTTGTTTATCAATAAATGGATATGAAACTTTTTAGAATTACGAAAAACCTATTAGGCATGCCTTCATGAGTCCACTGAGCCGAGTCTACCATTCTTCAAGCTCATTTCATTTAATAAACAACTCATAAAGGCTGTTCAAGCTTGGTTCATTTATTCAATGAACGGGCATGATATGTATCTTTTTAATGAGGCTAGCCTGGATTGTTCATCAGCAGATCAGTTTATTTGCAGTCCTACTATTCTCCTCCCTTCCCTTTTCTGTTATACCAAACAGTGAGAAGGTTATCAATTCTGTCCATCTTCCTTCACCCTTTTTATTTCCTTTCACACTTCTACTATTCTCTTCCCTTTCCTTCCCTTTTCTGTTATACCAAGGTGACTTCCTCCTATCTATATATGAAAAAGCCTTTCACCTTTGGAAGTATTTATGCCGTCTTTTCTGTTATACCAAATAGTGAGAAGGTTATCAATTCCATCCATCTTCCTTCATCCTCTTTATTTCCTTTCACACATCTCCAACCAAGCAAATTATATTATTATTATTATTATTTGGTTTTTATCTACTTACAGGTTGAAAGAAATGGATTGTGTGCCTATTTTATAGAAGATGGATGCAATGATAATATGTCTAAAAAAGATGATTTTTGTAGATATCATAGAATTAATATATATATATATACACACACACACACACACATATATATATTGTTTTGCTGTTGAATTATCTCATGACTTAGCAGTGACTTTAATCTTGATTTACCCTACTACTTTGCTGCTTCTGATTTTGTTGTGGTTTTAATTTCCATTAGTTTAATTATTGGTCTGGAATAGATCATTATTCTTTTTGGAAGTGGCTTAGGTCATATACTCTATTTATTTATTTATTTTATTTTTTATAAGTTTTAGGTCATATACTTTTGACTTGCAGTCATAGAAATTTGGTATCCAGGATGCAGGATATGACAGCTCATTTGATTCGGACTAGCTGATAAGTTTAAACATGATTGTGTTGGTGTATGTATTAATCATGTGCACTAATGTATGCTCAGTTGTGTATATACATTATGAAGAACCACAGAGAGTAAAATGACAATGGCAATGATGGTTAGATATTAACTTCCATGTCCATGACAAGAATAGAGAATGCCACTGTACTTCTGTCCATTTATATTTAAATAACGTATTACTTTTTCTGTAAGTATCCAAATCAATAAGGCAAATGGGGTAGTTTTGACAGGTATCGGACATTATGAATTTCAAAAGAATTGCCCTGTATTTTATTTCTCTATACTGACTACTTTATGTTTGTATGCTGTCCTACCATATGCCATTGTGTATCTCTTTCGTTCCTATGATTAATTAACTTATCACTTATCTAGTCTTAAGGCGTGGGTCAATTCAAAGTATTCTATTTCTGGAGACATGTATTTTTGGGGATTTTTTCTCAATCAACTCTTGCCTTTCCAAACTCATTTTTGGGAGATTATGTGCTGTGTCTTTTCCTTTTTATGTCATTTTGAAATTATCTGCCATTTGTTGAATGAACAGCTGACACTTTATTTTATCCAGTATGCTCATAGGAAATGTGTTCAGCGCTGGTGCAATGAGAAAGGAGATATAACTTGTGAGATCTGTCACCAGGTATGTCTGCTTCTTTGTTTGTGGCCTTTGTTTTCTCTCTCTTTTGAGTAGTCAAACTGAATATATGGTTTCTATACTTATATTTTGATGGGGTATTCTCAGATGAAACTATTCAGTTTGTTTTGTTTCAAGACATAGACATAATAATATACTTCTCTTGATGACTCTAAAGCTAAATTATGGTATGATGGACACTCGCTATAGGTGTTACACATATAAATTATAGTTGGATGATGTCTTGTACTGTGTAAAATAATAAATATCAAATTGTTGTCTCTCTCTCTCTCTTCTTTTGTCTTTTTCTTTTTCTGGCTTTGAGTGGGAGGAGCAGTAAGGATTGGACCCAAAACCAGCTCATCCCTATGAATGCTTTACCACCATGCTTGGACGGTTTTGGTCATACAATTGTAGAAACCATATGATTTGAATACCTTTTATTTTATTTTATTTTATTTTTCTCTCTTGGCCACATAAGGTCATTTAAGTTGATTAGGATTCAGGTTTCTGTTGCATTAACAATTGTAAGATAGTCCACAGCTAGATTATACACACACACACACACACTATTTCTTTGAGTTGTTGTTCAATTTACTTGTTACATATAATGTAAAGACAGTTTGTTTCTTTTAATAGATCAGTTGTCTATGTACACATATATGAGTTTCTCAATTCCAAAATATGTAATACATGTTTCTCGGTCTATGTAACATATTAAATGAGGATGTTTTAGTGCATTTGCTTGTGCCTGTACTTTTATTTTATTGATTATCATAATTGAAATTATCAAAATAGTTTTATTAACTTCTTCCTTAAAATTTCCCTGATGTAGCCTTATCAACCTGGTTATACTGCCCCACCACCTGCCCCTCACTCTGAAGATACTACAATTGATATCAGGCAAGTTTGAACTCATGTTTTTGATTGATAATTGGGTAACTCATGTTCTAGGCTTCTTTCTATCATGTTTTTGATTGATAATTGGGTAAATTACACTGACCTCCCCTGAAAATGGGCTAAAATACAGTGAGCACCACCCCTTAGTTTTTAAATATCACAGTGACCACCCTTGACAGTGTTGTTAATACTGTCCTCCCTGGTCATAACGGCTGTCAGTGGTGATGGATGGAATATGATGATTTCATGGTATTTAAAATTTGAAAATCCAATTTTACCCTTGAATTGTTTAAAGATACGTTAATATCCTTATGCACTTGCATGAAATGACTTGAATACTCGCATTTGCACATTCTAGCTGAACGGAAGTGTCCTTATCTCAATAGATATATTTATTCATATATATTCACACAAGTAGATATATATTGCATACCCACACACATAGGCTTTTACTTTTTAGTTCTCTCTGCAACTCTGAATTATATTTAAGGTGAAATTCTTTAGATATGTATAGCATATAATAATAACTGATGAGCCTTTCTGAAGAAAAAAAAAAATGATCGACGCCAGAGTTCTTTTGACGATGGGATTGGGGTTGATGGTGTTGGCAGCGAGGAGGGTGATGAGGTGGATTTGGAAGAGGGTTGCAACTTCGGAGACTTTAAGGTCGGTGTAGAGTGTAACCAATAGAGCGTTGCAGGCCACATTGGCTAAAATTAAGAAGAAAGTATTATACAAATAGAGTGAGATGGGTATTTGAATCGGCATTTGTTTAGATTTTAGAGTCGTTAGTGGATGTGTGTTTGATGGTTCGTGACACTAGAGATATATGGTAGACAGTGAGAGAGTCCTTGGAAGATCCTGGATCTGTGGGTGGGGATGGGTTACTTTATAGTACCCAATCCAACTTCTAACTTGAAAGATTAATAGATTTGTTTTTTATTTGTTGTTTTAACAGAAAATGTTACATTTTGCCTTTGAGGTAAAGATTGAAATATGGTATATGATCCAAAAAAGCCTATAAAACTACTTAACTACTACCCAGATGAATGGCAACGGTGTGGCTTTAAGTATTCCGGAATAGTACCCATTTGCAATAGAGCTGAAATTGGTAATAAAGAAGAGTACCGATTTGCAAAAACCAAACAGCTACTTCAATTCACAGCAAACCCACTACTTCTAATCAATTTTTCGAACGCTACAGGGACAGATGTGGTTGTAAAGGATCTCCGTGCAACTCCATTAAAGTGTCAGAGAGAGAAAACTGCTGCTAAGGGTGGAATTTGATTATATATTATCTCTCTATATGCAGGGGATTGATGAGAGAGAAAGGGGAGAAGGGTTGTTTTCTGTTTGGAATAGATGAAGAATAAGTTGTAGAGAGAGAGAAGTCTGTGAAGAGGGCAATGTTGTATATTTGCTGGATAAGATTATTTAGTTTAAAAAATACATAAAAGTACATCGACATTTTTTTCATTTTACAAGTTCCATTAACCATGTTACTCTGACATAACTGACAGGGGAGGTCAGTTTTATATTTAAAATCTAGGGGATGCTCACTGTATTTTAGCCTATCTTCAGATGAGGTCAGTGTAATTTACCCTTGATTTTTTTTTTTTGATAAGTGTAATTTACCCTTGATAATTTGATATAACTAATAATAGAACAATAAATTATCTCCAATATTTATTAAACAATTTAAGCTTATAAAAAATAAATAGCTATAATAATATTTCTTAAAACCAATTTGGTTCTTTTGTGAGTAATTAGTTATTTTGTAGTATAATGAATAATTTTATTAAAGATTATATTGCATTATTAGTCTTTAGATAAAAATGTAGTCTGAGATATTACAAGGCATGTAACATAACACATTTATAGAAGAACCTATTATTTTATAGTGGTTATTTGATTATTAACCAAATAAGTGCTCCATCTGTGGTGATTCTCGTTGGCATTTGTTTATTTTTTTTTTCCTGAATCATAGTTGTTAAAGGCTCAAGGCGCACAAAAGCGCAAATGCCTCCTGGAGCCTGAGGCGCAAGGCGCAAGGCGAGGCGCGCGCCCGACTGAAGCAAGGCGCACGTTGGAAAAAAAAAAAAAACAAAACTCACCCAATAAGTATTAAAGATGCAATAGTATATACAAAGATATAAAAGTCAACTAAATGAATTATTTAAGTTAAATATTCAACATAAAGATGCCAAAACTAATTAAATCAAGTACTTGAGTTCAAAACAGTGAATAATCAAACATATTAACATAAAGATGCGAAAGTCAACTAAGGAGAAGTATAAAATAAAACTAAAACAAACATAAACATCATTTCTTCCTAAGAAGACAACACCAATGAATCTAAATATCATCCTCGTCATCAATAAGCATAACATCATTTTGATCGTCACTAAATGATTCATAATTCTCAGGATCCTCTTCTATCTCATCTGAATCATCCTCATCCTCATCCACAAGTCGAACTGAAGAACTTCCTGCTCCCTTTGTTGGTAACCGTGAACTAGAACTAGATTTTGATCTAGTAGACCGTTGCGGCCTGCTAGCCTCTCCAATACCAGCAAAATTAGCAACATCACCCCATGTCAAGGAATCATCTTCATAGACTAGATCATGTTCTGCATCAGAATCATCCATCCTCCCCGTTAACCACTCGTTGCTCTCATCAATGTCATCGAGTAAAATGGGATCAAGAGTATCACGCATATTATATCGACGCTTCAATGCTCTATTATATTTGATGAACACTAAATCATTCAAAGTTGTTTGAGCGAGCCTATTTCTTTTCTTGTTATGAAGCTGCAATAAATTCAACCTTAACTAGTAAGTATAAAAAATTAAAATTTTAACTTTCAACAATTAAATTACAAACCTAGTTAGTAGATAGTATATACTTACATGCTCAAACACGCTCCAATTTCGTTCACAACCAGAAGAACTGCAAGTAAGGCTTAAAACCTTTATAGCAAACTTTTGGAGAAGTTTTGTTGACTTGCCATAAGCTTCCCACCAATTAGCTATTAAAAAAAATTAATAATGATGTTTAGCAACTTTAGCTTCATCTTTCTATCGACTCTATTGTCAAAATAATTTTAACACTTAGCTATACTAACTTAATATACTTTACCACTTTACCTGGTCCTCGTGTATTTCTCTGTCTAATAGCAAAGGGATTACCAAAGAGGCCCTCAGCTTTAGAATATAAGGACAGCTCCTCAGTAATTTTGTCTTGGTCTTTGATATCTGGGATTAACCTTGCAATGCATGCATACAAACCCTTTGCAATCTCTTCATCTTCTTCAATTTTCGGATTTGAATAAAAGTATTCTGGGTTCAAATAATAACCTGCTGCATGCAAAGGGCGATGAAGTTGAACATTCCACCTCTTATCAATTATTTCAAAGATATCCTTGTATTTGTCTTCTACTTCCCCAAATGATTTTGCAATGGCTTCTTTAGCCCTATCCATAGCCGCATAAATGTATCCCATGGGAGGCTTTTTCTCGCCATCAACTAATCTCAAAACCGGAATAAGAGGACCGGAAACCTTAAGGCTAAAGACAATGTTGTTCCAAAAGGAAGGCATCAAAACATAAGAAGCAACTCTTTTACCAGCTTCCTCTTTCGCCCATTTACTACGATTCCATTCTTCTGAAGTAAACATCTTTCTCAAGTTATTCTTTTGCTTGTGAATACTTGATAATGTGATGAAACATGTAGCAAATCGAGTCTTAGCGGGCCTAAGCAACTCCTTTTTAGAAGTAAAGTTCCTCATAATGTTCAACAACTTTGGACGCATATAGATATAACTATTCAACTCCACCGCCCTCTGCATTGTTCTGGAGATGGACGGTATTTTCCCAATGTCTTCTAACATCAAGTCTAAGCAATGAGCAGCACATGGTGTCCAATACAAATGTGGGTGTTCTTTCTCTAACATCCTCCCTATTTGAAACCAAACGGAAAAAAGAAAAAATGATATAAATTATATATTAATCAAAAAAGATTTAAATTATATATGTAAAGAATTTACATACTCTTGAAGTTATAAACATTGAACATTCTTACTGGCAGACTTATTGCTTGATTCACTATCTGTGACGACTTGAACGACATTTGCTACTCCAATGCGGTTCACAAATTTATTAAGTAAGTCAAACATCTTTGCACCATCCTTTGAAAAAGAAGAAGTATCTATCGATTCAATAAACATGGTTCCCCTTGGACTATTTACTAGGAAATTAAGCAATGTTCTCCCTCTCTTGTCTGTCCATCCATCTGCCATTAATGAGCATCCAAATTTTGACCACTCCTCTCTGTGGTCATTCATCAAAGCATTGGTATTATCCAATTCCTTCCTAAGCAAAGGAACTCTCACCTCGTGATAACTAGGTGGTTTCATGCCGGGACCATATTGTCCAATAGCTTCAACAACCTTGGCAAAGCTATCATACTTAACAGCATTGAATGCAATTCCTGCATCATACATCCACCTTGCAAAAGCAGCACACGCTCTTCCTCTCAACTCTTTCTTGCATGCATCATTAATGGTTGTCTGTTTTCCCCCCTCCTTTCTTTTTTGTACCACAATTTCTGGTCTGGGAATGAAATATAAATCAATCGGTCCTTTTTGCTTTTGCATCTTTGAGGAATTGACACTAGCACTGCCACTACCCGCACTAGCTACCCTTTTTCCCCGATTGTTAGCTTCCATAACATCATCCTCATCCTCTCCATCAAGGAAATTAATTTCATCACTAGGTAATAAATTCATTTGCTCTTTTTCTTCCTTTTTCTTACTCATGTACTCTTTGATTTCTTCTCTAACACTAGATGGGCATCTTGTGCATGCACTCACATTTCTATACCCTCCAGCTATGTGTTGCTTAGCCCGATAAATACCTCCTTTTGTAACTTTTGCACAAAAGTTACAAGTGACGGCATTTGTATCTTTCGGATTCTCCAAATGTGAGTAATTCCATGCCGGATCCTTTCTTGAACCATCACTAGGCATCTTTTAAAGTACAAACTACAATCAAATTCAAGATAACAAAATAATAACATGATTAGCATCATGTAATCAGTGTCTACAACAAATCTGACAAAAAAAAAAAAAATTACAGAGCTTCAAAGAATCAAAGGCATATATGGACACTGCATGATAAATTCTATATGAGATTTATCAACTATATGAGATGTAATATATATGCATATATGGACTGCATGATACCATATAGGCATATACCAACTGATATGTATACTACAATTTATTCCAGCAGCACAGAATTGTAAAGTTGTAAACTACAATTTATTCCAGCTCAGAATTGTAAAGTTGTGAACTACAATTTATTCTAGCAGCAGAGAATTGTAAAGTTGTAAACTACAATTTATTCCAGCACAAAATTGTAAAGTTGTAAACTACAATTTATTCCAGCAACTCAGATTATAAAAAAATAAAAAACAAAAATAAAAGAACAGGTTGAAGAGCAGAAGGCTAGAAGCAGAGAGAGCCGAGAAGAAGAATAGAAAGAAAAAAAAAAATTTTTAAAAAAGGTCAGAGAGAGCCGAGAAGAAGAATAGAAAGAAAAAAAAAATTAAAAAAAAAATAAGAAAAAAAAATCAGAGAGAGGGTGAGAGCCGAGAGAAGAAGAATAGAGGGCAAAAAAAAAAAAAAAGCTGAAAAAAAAATAATTAAAAAAAAAAAAAAAAGAAAAAGAAAAGGAAAGGAAAAAAAAAATAAAAAGAGCCGAGAAGAAAAAAAAAAAAAAAAGAAAAAAAAGAAAAAAGAGCCGAGACTCGGCTCAAAGAAAAGAAATAAAATAAAAAAATAAAAAATAAAAAAGCAAGACTCTAGACTTCTAGAGTCTAGGAGAGCCGAGAGAAGAGACGAGAGAAGAGAACTGAAGAAAAGAAGAAGAAGAAAAAAAAAAAGAAAAAAGAAAAAAAAAAAAACAGAGGAGAAGAAGAAGCAAGAAGGAGAGAAGAAGAAGCAAGGAGAAGAACTTACAGGCGCTTTGCAGATCCGGGCTTCGCAGACAGCAGATCCGATCATCCGACGAGCTTCCGGCTTGTACTTCTCTCTCTCTTCTCGGTCTCTTACTCTCTTCTTCCCTTTTCCTTCTGCTTTTTGCTTCCGGCTTTTTTTTTTTTTTTTTGACAACTGATAAAAGCTTAAAGTGACTGTAACATATCTGAGATTCTGAATATATCACGTGGCTCTGTTACAATTCACAAGACTTGCAACCAAAATAATAAAAAAAAAATAAAAAAAAAAAACTTTTCAAACAGGCGCGCCTGTGCCGCGCCTGTAGCCCTGCGCCTAAGCCCCAAAAGCGCACGCCTATTACAAGGCCCTCGCCCTAAGCCTTTCAAGGCGCCAAGGTGGCGCCTCAGGCGCGCACCTTCGGCGCCTTTAACAACTATGTCCTGAATGGTTAATTTCATTAAAAATAAAAAATAATGATACAATAGAAACAGAGGGCATAACCCCTAGAACAGCTCAAAACAAATGATAGAAAATGCCCATTTCCAATAGAAGCCAAAACACCAACACCAAAGACAATGAAACACAGTATCATAAGACCAGTTCAGAAGATAGCAATAAGATCCTGAAAGGAGCACTTCATGGAGTGCATCATGTCCCAAATCACCTCCATTGCAAGAGCATCAGCAGAAGTGTAACAGTCATGGTGAAGAACAGCATTAAGCTGTTAACTACTTGATTGAAAGACATTAAGAACTTCTTAATGCCCTAAAAGTGTCAATTGATCCATTTCTTTTTGTGAAAAATCAATTACGTTATTAAAACAAAGCTTATGAGCTCTACTTTTTGCCATGATTTATAGATCTTATACTTCAAGTACTTACGAATTTGCGCCCTAGCTCAATCATTATGAGAGGGTTAATATATAAAAATGATGAATGGATGCACAGAGGAAAGGTAGGAGAGAAACTTAATCTTTAGCATTATTTTGCAAAAAGTGATGACGACTCAAACTTTTGTTGTCATGCTTGCCAAGTCAATCTTTTACCATTGCACCAAGCAATTAACCTGATACATTATTTGTTATTTTTATTTTAGTTTCTTATATTTCCTTTGTTGGACACTTCATTCCATTCTTGTGTTGGACACTTCATTTCCTCATCAGATTAAGTTTTTAAAGACTGTAGCTCATTCTGCCAATATATTTGTCAAGATCCATTTCTTATCCAATCCAAAATATTTAGCCAATTTGTAGAAGCTTAAATACCTGAAGATAGTTGTAAGAATGAAACTTCAACCTTTCCTTTGTTTATTTAGTTGAGAAATGAAAATTCACGTTTACTTTGTTCATGCACAATTCAAAATTGAAAACTCAAGTTTCCTTTATTTATGTACAATTCAGACAATGTGCACTTTACAATTTGCTTCAACAAAAGTGTTGAACGTCTTCCATCTTCAATCTTCATCTGCTATTTTTACAGTTTATTTAAAAAAAATAATATTACATCAGAAACCTGAAATTTGTTGGAGATCACCATGTCAAGACATCTTTTATACATGCCAAGAATGTGGCATCTCTTTATCCTTACAAAAAGGATAAGAAAACTTTACACGCAACTACTTGGAGTTGTCTATGCAAATCCTTCTCTCCATTATGCTTATCTGGGACCATATAATTTTTAAACTGCAGGCTCTATTGTCTCTTCCTCTCACTTTTTTTTTTTAAAAAAAATAAAATAAAATTTCCCAGTTGTCTTTTTGTCCAGGGCTAAAGAAGTCCTCCTTACTAGGTATTCATTGCGTTCATTACCCATAGATAAATCATATTAGACAGCTTTGTCTCATCTATTCTTTAAATGGTACTACCATCTTTTGCTTATCATTCATCTAAACACTCATTTAATCCACATTCATACTCTACATGCTGTATTGGCAATTCGACATTTTGCACCATTAATGGTTGTTGGTTTTACAATTGTCTTATAAAAGTTGGCCTCATATCCGTTTCTGACAGTTAAGAGTACACTTCAAGGATATTCATTTCCACTGTTACATCTTTATATGGATCCTTATCATGAATTCACTCTGCTAGATTGACATTGCATAATTGTGTTACGTCAATATTGATTCCATTGTTTCTTGGCATTGTCTCACAGTGGAGGTTGGACAATCTCTGGTACTCCTCTGGACTTGCATGATCCTCGACTTTTGGCTATGGCAGCGGCAGAGCGCCGTCTTTTGGAAGCTGAGTATGATGAATATGCTGATACGAATGCCAGTGGAGCTGCATTTTGCCGCTCTGCAGTCCTAATTGTAAGCTGTTGTAATCTTGTCTTGTGTGGATAGTTTTGATTTGCATTATCTGGAAAGATGGATAATAATCGACTTTCTGAACATTAAATTACAGTAAAGCAAAATTATTTAAAAAGGATTGCCAAGTTGAAGCAAAATTATTAAAAAAGAATCGCCAAGTTTTCTGGAACCCCCCAACTTGCCCAACCCAACACCAATCAATGGAACAGACATGTTTCAGACATGGATGGCAATTCAACACAATTTGCTGGTCCTCACCCTACCCCAACCCTAACGGGATGCTTTTGGGGAGTAAATAAATGTAGGAATGAATTCGGGGAAAAAAATTTATTTTGACCAGGTTTTGGGGTGAGTTTGGATTGGGAGAACCCATAGTACTCCGCTTGCAATCTACTTGTTTTTTCTTAAAAATGAAATGACATAATTGCCTTCAAATCACATTTTAGCTCCACAATTTTACAAGAAAATACCCTTACACTTCACTTTTGAGGGATAATTTGTCTTTGTATGTTATAAAAAATTCAAGTGGATTGTCATTATCATCTCTCTGTTGAAAAAATCATATAGTAGTATAAATTATGGTCCACATGGGAATAAAATGAAAAAGAAAGGATTTTATGTTTCTATAAAAGAAGGTGGCCTGTCCAAATCTGTTGGATATCCATGAAATCAGTATTGACTGGCGAGGGAGCACGCCATATGGGAAAAAGAATTAAATAGAAAAATAGAAAAGAAAAGAGGTAGATAGATGCTACTGGATTTTGGAATGATTCCTCTTTGGCTAATGGGTACTGTAACAGGTATTCTTGTAATATGTTTAGTAGGTGTTTTTTTTTTTTTTTTTTTAAATGGTATCTTGAATTTATTCCAAAATAGGTTATAACAAAAAGAAAAATAAAAAAAATTTGTCAAACCACTGGGTCCCATACTCCCACCCCTACCCAGTTTCAGATTTGGGAAGCTGCGGCGCAGTGTTGAGAAAGGGGTCCCCGTGCCAAGTGCCCTTTTGTTATACCTAGCCAGGCATGTTTGGAACTACATAAATTTCTGGCTGGCTACCATCATAAATTTTCTTTGTGAATTTCTCTCATATATCTATCATAAAATGAGGCCCAATGATGCATTTCCTCTCAAAACTAACATTTGGTAGGTGCACATATATGGAACTTCTGTATTCCCATCTCTAGGTGCTTGTTTATGAAACTTCTTAGTATCACTCTTTCATTTATTTGATCTTCCAAGTCCATTTCTTTTTTCTTCTTTAAAACTGGTGTTGCATAAGTTAGTAATATGGAGATGGATGCAGGTTAAAAATCATGGGTCCTTTGACTTAGATGCTATAAGTAGTCATTCCCCCGTTCCTTTAGTGTTTTCACCGTTACATGAATCTTGAGTCATGGTCATGTCTCAAACACCCGCCCACCCCACCAAAAAAACGTATGGTGACTGGTTCCATGTTTTCCCTGAATTTCATCAGTTCCAAAGATCAAGTGCCTGCTACACTGTTGATGACAAAGTCTAGGACACAATAACTGCTTATATATATATATATATTTCTTATTAATTAAATTCTTCAACCCATTAACTTTCCATGTTATATCATTGTGTCTTATTATTTTGTTTATTGGCAGTTAATGGCTCTTCTACTATTGAGGCATGCTCTAACCATCGATAATGGTGATGGAGATGATGATGATGCTTCCACTTTCTTCTCTGTAAGTTGGATTTATATGTCTAATTCTTTGCATGGTTATATGAATGCTTTTATATATTGAATAAGTACATGGTTTTGGTTGCATCTCTTGATTAAACGTTTTGGCGTTTGACCAGCTATTCTTGCTACGGGCTGCTGGTTTTCTTCTTCCATGCTACATTATGGCTTGGGCTATCAGTATATTGCAGCGCCGAAGGCAAAGACAGGTTAGACACTTCTTTCTGGTAGCCATTTTGCTGTTTTTTTTTTTAATTTTTTTCTTTATTTCTTCTTCTGAGAAATATGGTAAAACATTTTTCCATATTACAATGGCGGGTTAATAAAAACTAGTTGGTTGGACATGTCGAATAAACATATCTGTTTTATATGGTAAACTGGTTACATTTATATTTGAACTTGTAATGGGAAGTTGCGATGGAACAGTTGTTGCTTACAAAATTAAGTGAACATGCTGCTGGTATCTTTTGTGGGGGGAGGAGAGTTCATACCACCTGGGCTAATGACAGCGTATTTTGTTTATATATAAATATACATATATAAGGGTTTCTACTATCCTAGTTTTTAAGGTCTGCAGTTAGGTGTATCAGAGAATTGGATCTTTCCCCACCTTTTGTCAGGGTTGTGGTGGTTTATGGTAAGGGGAGAGTCACCTCGTTGTTGTGTAGCCAACAGTCCCCTTTGGACCGAAATATTAAACACAGTTATTTGTGTATATATGTTTAAGCCCATGTTGAGGATTGCTTGTCAAGTATTTTAAAATATTCATTGATTGGACCAATTTGCACATGTTGTAAGATTAACTATTCTTACACCCTTTGGTATTTTTTTTTGGTATCATATTTTGCCATACTTTGGTTAGATGCATTTTATTGTTCTTGTCATGCACTTCAAATATCAATTTGGTTGGATATGGGTTGGTTTCGGGGCCATGAATGCTTTCTCTTTACAAAGCTTTACAATAACCTTGTAATTTAGATTGTGATGTTGATGGAAAAGGTTTAATAATCTTTACTAGTACGATTCTTGGAAATCATGGCAAGCATACATTTCGTTTAACAATTGGCTTGGAAAAAATATGAACCCCTATCAAAGTGTCCAGTCTTTTATTCTCTCATTATTCACGTCATCACAAGTCCATCATCATGCAATGTGAAAAATATATAAGCATAATAAAAAAATAGGAGCGTAGTGGTTTATATAGTGTAATAATTTTACAATATTTGCGTAGTTTTATCTTCTAAATTATGTAACTCTTATAAAAATAAAATAAAATATAAAAAAAAAAAAAATTATTAAATTTCAACATTTGTCATAGGTTTGTAGGTAAAAATTTGTATTTAATATTTATATATAGATGTGTCCGCATGGCGTCAATGTCCTACATTTTTAGGATTCAATGTGTCGGCCTCTTTGTGTCGTATCGTGACCGTGTGTGTGCTACTTAGTTGAGATTTGTAAGAATAAAATTTTTTATGGCAGTTGTAATTTATTGTCTTTTTACACATTGCATATCAGTGTAGGCGTCCATACATTTATTTCTCGTAGTTGTTTATACCATATGTAATGAAGTTCTTAATAGTACCAAAAGCTCTTGTTACATGGACTCTTCAAAAGTAATGAAGTACCCGTATCGGACACGTATCCCTTGGACATGGGTACGGGATATGTGTCCGACACTTTTGATTGGACATGTACTTAAAAAACATATCCTATCATTTAATTACATTATATTATTGCTTTAAAATGAGTTAAATGTCCATATTGAACATTATATTAGATAAAAACACTACTTTACTCTAGAAAATAAAATAAAATAATTAATAAAATGAATATTTAGCCGTATCTGTGTGTCCTTCTGTTTGGAGATTTGACACGTCCGACGCATGGATACATACCCGTATCCGATACCTGTACCTGAGTTTATGTAACATAGTCCAAAAGAATACGGTCTTAGTTTTCAGTATTCTCTTCTTTCTTATTCAATTATTCATTTATTTTGCTGAATCAGGAGGCAGCAGCGTTGGCAGCAACTGAAGTTGCATTTATGCTACAGGCAGGGCAACATAGGGGCTTGCAGTTCACAATAGCACCAGGACCCGCCTTAGTACCAGTACCCGTAGAAGCACCACAACCTTCTGTAGCACCAGCACCAGGACCTGTAGTAGTACCCGTACCTGCAATGACCCCCCATCAGGAGCCACCGCGTCAATAGTATATGGTTTTTCTCTACTCTGGTAAGTGTCGCGATATGTGAACAGAATAAATTACATTTGGATCTTCGAATGTATTGTTAAAACTCATACAACAAGCAATGAGAAAATTGAAAAGCTGTGTAATTGTATGTCAACTTGTATCTTTGCTCGGCCTCGTCTTTGAAAACCCTAGAGGCTCACATTCTCTTTCTTAATTCTCCCATGTTTGTACATAAATGTATTGGAACCATATTATTACTGCTGCAGAAACTTGTGTTTATGTTATTGATTATGATGAGATATGAAAATCACTGACAAGCGACGAGATTTGTGTATTGGTATATCTACCCATTTTTATTATTGACTGCTACGACCTATTATTATTGTTCTTGAGAACTTCAGCTGAAAAAAATAATAAATAAATAAGTCATGAACATTCTGAGCCCTTGTCATGCTGATTTTCTATTTGCAGGTTCATTAGCGTTGGCTTGAATTTGAATATGAATATTGGAGTTTAATTGGATAGAACTGACTTGGGATCTGATTTAAGATCTCAATTCCATTGAGGGTGGATTTGCCTGAGCAGAAGTTGAATAGATTTATGGTTCCAATAATGAGAAAATGTAATTTTATTCAATCATAATTGGAAAAATTATACTTCTTCTCATAATAAATGTCATGTTTTGGAAATCATGACTCACATTTGTTGACTCACGATTCTTACGGATGTCAAAACATAATATGGTTTTCAAAACATGATACTTATTATGGGACGGGGAGTAAAAAAGTGGACTTTGGGAGGTTTAGAGATGGAGTTAAAGTCTACACTTTTCAAATTCATGAACTTTGACCAAATCTGATGTGGACATAAAGGACACTGTTCATTTGCCCAAACTACACTTAGTATTTTCGGGTGCTACTTTTGTACATGTAAGTATTACTTTTTGTACAGAGGTATCATTTATGTGCATATAAGTATCACTTCTGTGATCAAAGGTACCACTCTTATGATTAGAGGTACTACTTTTGTGCACAGATGTATCACTTTTGTTTAGGCAAGTAACACTTTGTAAAGAGGTATCATGTTTGTGCATGTAAGTACCACTTTTGTGCACAAATATACCACTTTTTGTGCAGAACATTTTGATCATTTGGTTTGCACAAAAATAATATCTATGTGCACAAAAATAGTGCCGAGGAAACTAAAGGTAGTTTGGGCAAATAAACAGTATTTTTTTATATCCACATTAAATTTTTATCAAAGTTTATGAATTTGAAAAGTGTTGACTTTGACTCCATTTCTGTGTAATAAAACCTTTCATAGTCCATTTTTTTAAAAAAAAAATAATTTTCCATCATAATTCCATGTACTTGGAATAATTTATTCTAGATCAAACATGGAATTCATTCAGAATTGAATTTATAATTTCAATTTCATGTCTAGGTAGCTATTTGAAATTGGACTTCAAATTATTGCTCAAGAGTTGAGAGAATAATTCAAAATTTGAGGGATATTTGCACAACAAGCTTTTAGCACATTAACAAACATGTATTAAAGAAATGGATACAGATGTATGTATAGCGTAGAATTCTATTTCATAACGGAATCGATATATCGATGAGAATCAAAATTACATGAGATTGACTCTGTCCTTAGGATAGACTGCACAATCTGCAGATATGGAAGAAAAAGCATAAAGGAAACACATTAAGCACAAGAAAAGAGCTTGCAACTCCAAACAAGCATAAAGTGAGAGGTTGGATCTGTTATTATATATATATATTGTTTTTCTTTTTTATTATCATCCCATGCTAAATTACAAGCATAGCAGAGTAGATATTGAAACTCACTCACTCACTTTCTTCTACAAGAATTTGAACTTTTCATCTTTTCAATGACGGACATATTGGAAGATGTGTTAGTGGAAATGTGGGCCGCACTACATGATATCATGGTGATGTCATGTGGTGGAGTCCATGCCTCCACTCATATAACATTCCGTCAACATCCTTCAAATTTAGAGGATGTATCATTTTTTTTATACTACGCGGACAACAAAAAAGGGAACGAGGGAATATTATATACCTAAAATTTTGCTAAAATTATAATAATGGCCTACTAGATTTTTGATAAACACCCAATGCATTATGGTTGTCCACACTAAAATTTTCTTTATTTATATAACAAATCTTAAATTTTATGACGTTAATTTCTCTCCAATTTCAATTCCTAAACACAGATTGTATACTTCCAAACAAAAAAAATATTATGTAATCCAGCAAAGGTTTTGATAACCACCACTGAGATATATGCACAAATAACAAATACTATATGAAAACATTATGCTATGTTTGGAACACTGAATTGGCGCTTTAAATTTGGTATGGGAAGAAATTTAGTACAACGTTTACACTAATATGTTTTAAATTTTAAATTCAAAATACTAATTCGATACCCTCAAACGCAACATTAGAAGCTTTGCAAATAGACATTATGAGTATTGACACTGATGGTCATTGTTTGGTCCAAAGGAGCAATGAAATTGATATATATGTAGGCAACCGATATATAGATTATTGGCCTCCCTGGATGGGTGAGGTAATATGAATCTTCTCAAGATATTTTGGGGCCCTATCTTGCTTTATGCCTTTAATTGTTCTAATCCACAAAGAATATGAAATATACAATCTAAGATCCTCTCCTCCGCACCAAAACAACGTCGTTTTGATACATACGCAACATTTTACATCGAGACGTAACATCCATTATATCAAGAAGCAACACATGTAAAATCATTATATCAAAAACACTACACCGTTGCATCGAGAATGAAACACATGCAACATTCTCGATACAATGGTGTTGCATTCTCGATGTAATACTATTGCGTCTTGCATGTGGTGCGTTCTATTGTGTTCTCAATATAATAGTGTTGCGTGTGGTGCATTCTTGTTCTTGATGTAAGTTGCGTGTGTGTCGAGACGATGTTGTTTTGATGCACACGCAACACTTCACGTTGAGACGCAATGTCTATTACATCAAGATACAACACGCGCAATATCATTACATCAAAAACACAACACCGTTACATCGATAATGAAACACATGCAACATTCTTGATGCAGTAGTGTTGCATTCTCGATGTAATAATGTTGCGTCCTCAATATCATGGTGTTGCGTGTGTTGCATTCTCGATGTTTGTTGTGTGTGCATTAAGACGACGTCGTTTTGATGCACCGGAAAGTACCAGACCTCTCCTTATACTAGACAGGATACATCCAGGTCACAAAGTATATAAACCACATACCTATTTCTCAGGATTTACCCATAAGACTTAAAAAGAGAGCACAATCTCAGACAAACCACTTATTCTCTCATCATTGCTTCAAACAAGAGACCACTATTCCTTTTGTATAGGGTTTCTATATATTCAACCAGATAAGGCCTCTGGCCTGAGAAGCATAGATCTTGCTCTCAGATGGGACAAAAGGCAGTTACTATTTCTAAGAAATTCAAGTTTTCTAAAAGCTGTTGCTGTGAAAAACATTCAAACACATTCGAATACAGCATCTGCGACTTCTACGGTTTTTTATTCTAATCAATCAAATTAAAGAAGAGTTAGAAGAGGATCAGATCCTTTTCACAACAAATGCTGATATGCTGAAGTAATTTCTTCCACTATATATGAACCAGAAAGGCTTTGGTTTATGGCCAAAGGGAAATTTCTTACGGCTAAGATCGATGCAGAGGGAAACTCGAGGATGGTAGGCAATTTCTGCTTCCTCAGCTTTTCCTCAATGTGGATTGATTAGTTTTCTAAAGTATTTATTTTTTCGGTTTGGAACTTTTTTTTGCTTAAAACTTAAATTTAAGAATGGCAGCTAAAGTTCATCTGTGAGCTAGGATCATCCCTATATTGTATAAACTTAAATCCTAATCAAGGGATGAAAATTTTAGGATGCCGATAATGGTTCTCACGCACAAAAAAAAAAAGTTTGTTTTTATATTTTTCTCTTCGAAACATTGACAATTAATTTGTTCTAGCATATTATGATGTAACAAGGAATTACATTTTATTTTCAGCTTTTAACTCTCCTATATGCATTGAGTATATTATATTTTAACTCCTATAAAGACTGAACTCTCTCTCTCTTCACTATATAGACATGTATATACGGATGTATAACTGTATGAATCCACCTCCTCTCACACACATCCGCATTGCATACATAATTCAGAACTAATATTATGAATTCGTAAGTCACATTCGATTGTTCGAACCATGCTCATACTTGTATAATGTTAGGTTCACCGTTATTTTTCCTGTTGGAAAATAATGGAGAAAAGTATATGCCAAACAACTAAGAAAAAGAAAAGTATATGCCAAACTACATTTTGATAAAAAAAAATAATAATAATAATAATAGAAACTATAATTAATCCTGTATGAACTGCACTAAGAACTTTTAATCATAATATGTGTGGAAAAGAAGTAAGAGAAACAAAAGGTTCACAGATCATCAAAAAACTCTGACGGCAAGAAATATATTGATCTTTCAATTGGGTGTTTGTGGAGTCATTGCTTGGTGTAATGTTAAATGCTTGGACTACCGTGTAAGAATGCCGGTTATGAAAATGTTTAAAGGTTAGGATTGTACCTCGGCAATCCTTGGCATCGTCGATTATCTGAGACTAGCTCTACGGAATGACCTCCTTCTTTTCCAAGTGGGTGTTTGTGGATTCAGCTGGTTTTTCCGATAAGCTGTAACCTGTGGTATCTGTTCTTCGTGTGAATTTCAAATTGTTTTGAAGATATTTTACGTGCAATTGCCTCCCAAATCATATCTACAGCATCACCAGGCCGAGATGGATACTGATATTCAAAATGTTGGACTATCTGCTTCAGTCTTTCCCACATTTTGGTCCATTTGTCTTGCCCGATTCCCCTAAGAAGATTCAGTAGGAACCCCTTCTGTAGAGCAGAATAAGCACCGACAAATATGCAGAACTCTGAGTAGTCTAAGACATCTTCGAATGGCAGTTCAATTTCATCGCTTATTATTACAGGAACACAATGGCTAGCAATGGCATCAAAGAGGCGATTTGAAGAGGGAGTGTCTCCAGCAAGATTTAGGCAGAATTTGGAAGAGGCCATCCCTTGTCCAGCTTGGTTGATCCCATTTGCTCGAACGCTTCCAAATGCAAAGTGGACTTCTTTCTCGTCCTTGAGAAGGTAGTATAGTTCTTGACGAATCTGTCCACCCTGAAGATGAACCAAAACATGATAATTAGAATGATTAACATGAAGCATAGATATCATTGGACAAATTTAAAAATTTCCATAAAAGTTTAATTGGATTTTTATTTTTATTTTTTTGTCGGAAACACTTAGTAAAGAAGAAAAAGTACATTGAGCTATTTCCATTGTTTCAATTTAAAAAATTGAACTGTTTGTTTCACAAGAGATTTACGCAAACATCAAATCATTATGAAATGAGCTACTTGATATCAAAGTTACTGTATAATCTCAATTTTGGTGAATCAAATTCAAAAAGATAAACATAAGAATTCCAAAATCAGAGCATCGAAGAAATGAATGTTTCAAAAGGACACATTAGCAACGGCATGTCACATAACAAAAACTTCAATGCTTCATAATAAGAGGCAAAAGGGGAGATACACTTACATCTTTCCTATAAATAGCTCCTTGGAAATATATCAATATAGGACGCCTTTCAAAAGGGGCTGAGTCGCTACTGGCAATGGTCTTAACAATATGCTTGTAAGGCGCAATCACATCCTTTTCAAGGTTTGCTATTTTATGCGGATATCTCCCAAAATCCGAAAGCACAAGCATTGCAGAGCCCAGCTTCCTTCTTGCATTCAACATGCTATTTGGGTGATGAGCTACAATTAAATGATCCTTCCCGCCTAAACGTTTCCATTCATCCCGACCCTCCAAGAAATGTACCAATTTATCCTGCAGCATCCTGTTGACACCACCTTTCTTCCTACGAAGCTTAGAATCCCTATTGTAACTCAGAGATGAGAAGAAGGGAACAAAAATTATATCCGCTTCACTAGAGTTCTGCACTCTGATTGCCTTGCACAGTCTAGTTACACTTGGTGTATTCGATGATAGAAGATCAAGGGTGATCCAGTACTCCACACTGTGCTGTAGATGTAGCCCACCCGGGTAATGAGGAATCCCACTTGGGTTACCGACATCTGGCCAGATTTGATTTCCATTTCCCTTCCAACCCAAAAACCCGAAGTGAAATTCAGGAGGCAAGTCATACATATACACCCTAAGGAGAGCCTCGTTAGGGACACATCCCTTCCTTCTATCTTTTCCTAAGGCACCAAATTTCTTGCTGGAATTGGAAACTTGCCAAGCCACCTCTCGGCTTCTTATAGGCCGCGGAGTATGATTTGGTGAAGCCACAGAGGAGAGGGAAGGGGAAGCCACAGAGGAGAGGGAAGGGGGCTCAATTCGTTCACTTATGACATTGGGTTTGAAGTTAGCTGATGTGGTATTAACAAGAATTAACTTAAAAACTGATCTGGATATGAAAGAATTGTCGCCAAAACGAATAAGGGACAATGAAGAAAGGATCAAAATAGACAATGAAACTATCATTAAGCAGGAGAGAAACTTTGAAGGTAGGATGCTCTTTTCCGACATCAAAGACATCTGAAGAATCTATATAACCTATATTTCTCTCAGAAAATTTATCAAACAGCATATATACTACTCTTGAAGGAAAAAGTATTCAAAGCATTTGGCATTTATTGCTTCAATTCAGTAAATGATCACTGAAAGAAGAGGTTAATTTTCAACTCCTAACCATGAACAAGAACAGTTGGACATCCACAAAATTTTATTTCTAAGGGAAAACCAATTAATCCCCAAAATGAAAGGTGATTTCAATTTTTTGCCTTTAAACCCTGAAGGGTTTTAAAAATATTGGTTGCTTATGATAACATGTTCTCTTAAAAACACCAACAAACAACCTCTGACAATCAAAACCCATCAATTAAAAATAAAAAATTCCCTTTTTAAGAAGACATTAATGAACTGAAGTTTTGCATACTAAAAAATCAACCCAAAGCTTCAGTCCTTGTACATATTCAAAAACCTATATTAATCAACCTGCATACAAAAGAAAAGAAAACACTCATATATCAATTTATACAACTCATATATATAAACCATTTCCTATTGTATCTGCTACTAAGCTTCAAGATTAATTCAGGAGGGTTTTTGAAATTATATATATATATATATATATATATATATATATAACATGAATATATATACACACACACACAAACAGAGACAAAATATCACCTTGAGGGTTTTGAAGATTTGTGAGTTTTGTAAAGTGGGTAGGATGAATAAATGCAAGAAGAGACCTTGTCAGCTAGGTTCTCTGAGATCCCAAAATGCTTTGCTCCTTCTGAGGCTTAAGAGGACTGAATTTGAGGCATGTCTGGTACAGGTGGTCTCTCATCAAACAATATTTTTTACTGTTTCCACAGTTACTAATTTGAAATCTTCTTGGCATTTAAGTATCATTATTATATTACTGTAATTATATATATATATATATATATATATTCGTTGGGCTTGCCACGAAGTGGAGTGTAGATTCAGATTAATTGACTTTCTCGTGTCCAATGGCTTAATTTGTGGAGGGTAATTTACATTTTCCCATACGCATTACAATAAGTCCAAGAAGCAAAATCACAAGTATAGAAAGTCATGCAATAATTATTTTTTAAGGGAAAATCTTTGTTTGTGTTTAAGATACACTATAATTGTGTGTCACACTAACCTTGGCAGTTTACAAGTAGTTGATCTATCAAAGAGTCTGACCCATTCTTGAGTTTGGTGGGCCATATATAGACATTGACCAAAATTTTGGTTGATTTCGAATGCCTATTATTTTGAGAATGTTGAGTTTTTATTATATTTTATTTTATTATTGTTATTGTTATTGTTATTTTCTGTTGAGAATGTTAAGTTAGTTCACACGATTGGTTCAACAGATCATAACAAAGATACTGTGAGATGGTTGGCTCATGCAGAAGGGTGGATGTATCACGTGTAGTGTAGTAGTACCATTTAGTTGTGCTCGTTGCAACCACAATGTGATATTTTCGTTTTATTAAATATTGACAAGTAGAGTGATATGACTCACTGAAATAAAGTATTTTTTATTTATGTGATAAAATATAATTGATCGATGACATAAATAACAAAGTATTAAATGTACAGAGAAATTTTTTTTGCATCGAACATATTTTACTATACAAAAGGTGAAAATAACCTGCTAAAATTGTACATTTTAATTGGTTTGGCATGCCACCCACCCTAAATCTAATCCTTTTTTTTTATTTTTATTTTTATTTTTTATTTTACTTTAGAGGCCCAACTCACTCCGGTGAGAGCATATATCTTTATGTGACGAATATTAATTATAATATCAACTAAAAAAAAAATTTGTGGTACATCACTTTTCATTTCTTTTTTTTTTTGAAAGAATTCTTACAATATTTTCTTGAGAGATTTAAACTTTTTATTTTTCACTTTTCAGGAAAATAAAATATATCACTTGACCATAAGCCTTGATAGTACTTAGATAGTACTTAGATCACTCTTGTGAAAGTCAAGATATATCTTTATTAATCATATACTTGGAATCAGATTCTTTTAATTTAGATATTCCCTTTGTTTCATATTAATTGTTCTTTTTTCTATTTTATGTTGTCTTAAAATACTTGTCCCTATTGAAAAGTGAAAGTAGAATAAATGTAATTTTATCATAATTATCCTGTAAGATTTTAAAAATCTCACAACTTGATAATGTACCTATTTAAACTTGAAATGATATTTTGATAATTTTAAAAGAGAACAATGCATTAAAATCACATCTATGATCTTAAAGTTGGTCTTTTTATTGAAAAAATTCGAAATTCTTGTAGTAGTGGTGCAAGTTAAGACACATGAAGGCATTAAGAGATCAAAAAATCACAATATTCTTAACAAAAGCACCTGAAATGTTGCCAAGTTGGGACAAAAAGAGATCGTCATGCTCACAATTTACTTAAAACTCAAGAATATGAAATATTCATAGAAAATTTAAAATTTTCATTTTGCCCATATATTGAACTAATAAAAGAATAATGAGTATTAGTACAATGTGTACTAATAATACTCCATTCATTCCAAAAATTTTAACCGGTGATAGTATTGTCCAAATGGTAAAAGGTCAGGTTTGTAGAGTTCCCCACCCAATGAATCCGAGGTTTAATTCCCTTCCCCTGCCCCTCTAACTATCACTAACTATATTAAAATAAATAAAAGGCCAGGTAAAAAAAATTCCAAAATTCTTAGCCATCTTTCTATTTTGAAAACTTTCAAAATACATTTCTCATTCAAAAAATGGATGCACTATTTTTAATAATATTTCCAAACTACCCTTTTGACATGAACTTGATTAAAGTAAGTGCACTAATTACAGAGTACTCCTTTGTCTTAAAGCAATAATAAATTTGACAGCAAAGGACTTTTGGCTTAATGATATAACCTCTTCATCTTCAAAGAAGAGGGGAGAGGTGAAAAAAAAAAAAACAATAAATTGACAATTCATTTTTATCAATACAATAAATAAATATTAAAAACTCACTACCATAAAAAGTTATTTTCCTTAAAAAGCTCATGAATTTTGGGACAGAGTGCGACTGTGAGTAGTTATTTAACACATTTGTTAGTATTATTTTTGAAACTGTAAGAAAAAGGACATGTTATTTAGGTAATCTACAATAAAGATAAAGTGTAAAATTATTCCTTTAAAATTCCGTTGTCTAGACTCTAGGCCTCCATTTTTGCCTTTTTTTTTTTTTTTTTTTCCTCATGTCAGCACAGTTTCCTATTTTCTAAGTCTCAGTTCGATTCCAATTGTGCTGATTTTTTAGGGGTCCTTCAGTTTAGTGATTTAGAGTTTATCCCTTCTATTCATGATTTTTAGAAGTTGTTTTCTAGCAGAAGTTGATCCATAATTTTAGGGCAAATTGTATAAAATTCCCTCCACTTTTAATTTTTGACACAATACCTCCCTACGTAAAAATATTTGGCCTAAAACACCATTTGACCATTCAATTGTTGCAACAGACCTAGTTAGCCATCAGAATTATATTATAATTGTGAAGTTTGTGTACATAATTGTGTGTGTGTGTGTGGTGTGTGATTTAAATGAAAAAAAAAAAAGAGAAAAGAAATATAAAATAAAGTGAGACCCACGTCACTTTTTAAGTGATTTGTGAGACCAAAATTGGTCTCTGCTGCTCTCTCTCTCTCCCGACTGCTCTCGGCTTCTCTTTTTTTCTTTTTTCTTTTTTTTTTTCACTTCAACTTCCATTGTTGATTGTTCCTTCATCTTTTATCGGATTGAGGTGCCGTTTGAGGCAAAACGAAGCTTGTAGCGAGCTCTACGCATCCATACTATCAGTTTTCAATTTTGAGTCTTCCTTGGAGCTCGAATTTGGAGGACCTATTCTAGGGATTTCGGCTTGAATTGTGAGGTAGGGACATCTTAAGCCATGGAATCTTGCTCTATAATGAATCATGCTCTTCTATGTGTGTTATAGCATGTTTAATTGTTGTTGATTTTGATTAAAATGATTTAATTGACAACATGCTAGTTATGTAAATGTGTATAACATGGTTGAATGAAAAGTATGTCTATGTGATGGTTGTTTACATTTTTTTTTGAGGTTATTAACATGCTATAATGATGCCATGAGAACATGCTTATTTATTATTGTGCTAAGTTCCCATTTGTCATTATATTGAGATCATGAAATGAGCCTACATCTCATTGGGTTGCATGAAAAATGGAAGTGGTTGTCTTGAAATGAAAATGGGGATTTGGGAATGAATGTTTTGGAAAAAAATTGGTTTTGACAAACCCGGTCGCTGCGGGGTTACCAACGGGCCGAAGGTTAATGTAGCCTAGGGAGGACTAGGGAGAGTACCCTAGCGTGGTTGAGCTATTTGGGCCCCTCGACGGCGCCACGGGGTCACCAAGGGCCTAGGGATAGTAGCCAATCCTCCTCTCGTCGCGGCGGGGTTACCAAAGGGGGTTACATTAACTTTGAACGTGATGGTTTTAAGAAAGAAAACGGGGAGTGACTTTAGCATGCATTGCATCTCACTCCATTTGCATTTGTGTGTGATTGAATTTGACTTGTACTTGTAATTATTTTTCCCCTTCAATGCATGTCCCCAATCTCCCATTGGCCTATGCTTTATTTGGATTCACTAGGACACAAGAATTGTGTCTTAAGTGTCACCTGCTGAGCTATATGCTCACCCCTATATCTATATATATTTTTTTCAGGTCTTGGAAAGGAACTGGTGGATGACAACCCACCTCAAGCTTGAACGGCGTTAGAAGTCCACTTTTGTATCTTTGTATATTCCCCATTATTTTGTAAAACACTATAAGTGCAAAGATGTATAATTATTTTGTGGAACTTTGTCATGTAATATAACTAAAGTATTGATGATGTTTTGGATGGGGATTTGATAGTATGCAACTTGTTGATGAATGGATGGATAATCCTAGTTTGAAGCATTGTCTAGATTTGTTGGTTGTATCATTATCTTTTGTTGCCGTGAATTCGGAATTTGAGCCATGACAGGTTAAAAATGTAATTAAACAGGTTGTGAAAGGCCTATTTTTAGGGGAGGTCATGCCGAATTTTTTTTGTTTAAAAGTATTAGTTTTGAGTCGTTACAAATTTGGTATCAGAGCAAAGGTTCGAAAACCTTTAGGAGGACGGGTAGAGGCCTACTTAAGGTCACATGGAATGTTGTTTCTGTTGCTTACTTGACTACTTGCTACGTGATATTTTACTTAAATGAGCATGCTTAACTGCCTATGTGCTTACTGCTTACTTGTTTATGTTAAAATGTTTCTTGCATAGTCTTGCATGCTAAGTGTTGTACGGTATCAATTCTTGTTGAGTCGTTTACAGTCTTAGTGTCATGTTTCTAAATCGTTTTATCGTTTTATAGCACGATGTCACGGCGTGAGGAACCTAGAGAAGTTGGCCCTAGGCCAACAAGGGGCGATG